TATATATATAGTAACCAGACTGAACCAATGTTCAGGAAATGCAACAAAAGGCACAGAATGAAATTGCAACCAATTTAATATAACAAATTTCTTCCCATTGCTTTCAACACTAAAAGAAAAACTGTGAGCATACCTGTAAATAAAGAAAATATAGTGATTATTAAGGTCCCCAAATTTAATTGGACCTATAGCACCTCAAGGCTTTAATAATTTACACATTCTATAGGTTTTTTCCAACCAATTAGCATGATCAAAACTGCAATAGAGTTTATAAATTGGAGAATTCTTTAGGTTTGTCAGCATAATTAAAGCTAAAACAACACTGTTTCAGGCACAGGTGAGGACACTTTTCAGAGTAAATCAATAAAATATGGTAACAGCAGAGATAATTGCTTACAGAAGCACAATCCCATTATGTGGGGGCCTTTTTATAGTTCAGTTTCTGTGAACTGTTACACAACCACAAAAACAAACACACTCAAAACAAAAACCTCTGCTGGGACACACGATTAACCACAGATTGAACTGTTTCTTTATAATGTCTATATGGCATCAATGATGACTAAGAGATGATTTGTATTCTGAAAAACATTGAGATTTTACTTCTCAAAATTATGTTTTTTTTTTTTTTTTTGTTCTTGCATGTTCACTGTTCTCTGAGAACCTGTTCTGTGCACAAGCACCTGGCAGAACTTTTTTTGCCTCACAGGTGTAGGTGCCATGTATTGTGTGATTGGTCAAAACTTTGTGGGTGGGTTTATATGGAAAGGTGAGTAAAATAAAACTCTCATTTTAAAGTAACTGCTCTGCTGATGAGCAACTGGCCCAGGTTCGAGTCATCTTTACAACTGTTCAAGCAAAACATTTAAAAGATGGTCATAAATGTTAGACAGTCAAAGGACTCGTAAGATGACAGTGCAATGTTTGTGCACAGAGGAGACAGTGTTGGGCGGTATACCGGTTCGTACTGAAAAACGTTTGTTATTTTTGTTATGATATGAATTTTCTGAATACTGACATACTGGTTTAAACAGCCTAAACACGTTCGGAACGTTACGTCGCGCCCGCCAGTGAATTGTTTCACAGGGGACATTTTTCCTTGCAGCACTGCTATGTGCATTAGCAAGCTAATGCTATTGTTAGAGCAGCTTCTCAATAACTGGCAGCAGGTGGTGATTCCGCTGCTTATATCGACTGACATTACAAAAGAACCTCCCATTTTCACCATCACTGAATGTAGTATACATCTCCTCAGTGATGTGCATGATAGATTTAATGCATGTTGTTAATGTATGGAGACGTTAATGTGCTTCTATTGTGAAAAGCCTGGGGGAAGTCGTTTTGAACTGGGGTTTAGTTGACTGGTGCACGGAGGCTTAGTTGTCCTGTTAAGCTTTATTAAATAACACAAAACAACAGACCCGTATATGATCCTGCTCAACACTCCTACTTCACGAGCATACCAAAATGCATGACTACTGTCTACAAAGAAGAAAGTAGCATAAAAGAAACATGGAGGAGGGAAACAGCAACACAGAGGTACAGTAAACGAAATAAGTCAAGAAATGGTTTCTGGGTTGCAGAAAGAGAGTAGGTTTGCTAAATAATAAGCAATGTTTGTTCATTTTATTACAAAGTAATCAAGTTTTATTAAATTAAAATAAAGTACTAAAGTACTGTTAAACAGTGAAAGTGTATTCTAACTTGAAGCATTAGGATATTTGGAATAAAACTACTAATCAAAAAAAGTTATGGTAATTTAAAAATTATAAGAATATGAAGAAAACTATTACTTGCTATGAACAATAAAAATCAGATTTCAAAGAAAGTATGCA